CAATTGTTCGTTATTTTCTGTAATATAAAAAATAATGTGTCCCTCATTTGCAGAAAAACTTCTGATGTTCTTTATGGATTAAAAAAATGATATTGTAGATACAAAAAAAACTATGTTAAGAATTAAACCTCCACTCGACTTACACATGTATTTAAAATATTTTTGACTAATATATACGGTAATTTATAGTATATATTTGTTTTTAATATGCGAGAGTTGAGATACTTTCAAATAAAATTGATAAAACATGTGGAAGAAGATTTGGAGAAGAAAAAGAGTGTTTTACAAAATCCGCACTTCAACTGATCTTAATGACAAATGAAGAAATATTTTATATACGTGACTAATATGCTTTTTCAATATAAATTGTTTAAATATTGAATGATACAGAGAGGGGTCCATGGTCTAGTGGTATTTTCTTCTCACAGATGAGTGTTAGAGGTCTCAAGTTCGAGTCTCTCTGCCACCACGGTGGTACTGAGCTTCTCCAAATAAAAATTCCTCCATACGAGTAGGAGCAAGCGGTGTATACTAACCCGTAGGTCCAGACCGAAGTGGGATTTTTCTCTAGATATGGGGCCGCTTTGCAGTGGGGCCAATCACTAAAAAAAGTTTTTGGAGAAGGGGTCCATGGTCTAGTGGTATTTTCTTCTCACAGATGAGTGTTAGAATAAATCATAGTATGTGGCCACTGCGGAATTCACATGGCGGTTGCAGGCTTCCAGGACCACGTCAGCTCCGCTTGGACACGACGCTAGTCGGACCACTTCGGTGGGATCGGACACCTGGGTTATCAAAAAAAAAAAATTAAATGATACATTAAATTATTCTGATGACAAATGTCAACATACTATGATTTATTTATTTATTTATTTATTATTATTATTTTTTTTTTTTGTAAACACTATGATTTATTCTTTATTTTCTACTAAATTTTGTTTTGACTTATATCACAAAATACAAACATTGGTCGTATCATTGTAGTTTGATGTGAAAAGTTGGATCGTTTACTATAAACGAGTTCAGATTTGTCAAGTTTAATAGAGGACCAACCATTTTTCGCTCTGTGTGTTTCTTTTTTTTTGCCATAAGATATGAAGTTTGGATGCTCTTCTTTATGGTGACTTTGCATCCAAATTTAACATTATCCAAACTTTGATAGACATATTAAATTTTTTTTTTTTTTTATCAACACAATATAGTTGCTCTTCTTGAGATGTGAACTTGTAAGGGTAAAAAAAAAAACAAATATCTCATTAAGTGGTATCAAAGCTTAATCAAGATTCCATCTAAATGTAAACACAAAATTGGATCTCTCCTTCTGAAATGACTGCCAGCGACAAGCCTACAAAGATCCAGTTGAACAAATGAACTTCAAAAGATGAAAGTTGGCATGTTTGAGGAGTTCTTACACGCTGAAGCTTCTCTCAATGGCCTAATCGAGATGCTTAACCCTACGTACCAATCACATGTAAAGTTTCACTCAAAGAACATCAACCTGGAGTCTTCGCGGTTAAGAAGATCCAACCGCCTAGCTTAGTTAGGTCCATTAATTCTTTGTTTATTTAACGTCGAACGACCACCGTTGAGCTAAAGTATGGTAATGGCAATTAAACTCAGGGTTAGTTTTCTGTGGGGGAAGACCAAATCTTTCATATAGGTCAAGGCAGCATCGACAGAATAAGGATAGCACATGTATTTCTTCTTGGCTACTTCTATATCGTTGCCAATACGATCGGACGACACACCATGCATAAGTGCTTGACACTTAATGCATGGTAATGCTCGTCCCATCCAGCTCGTACCTTAGCTTCACTGACTAAATCAGTTGAAACGTAATCCCAGCATAAGATGTGACCTCCCTAGTCCCTAACCCACCCTAAACCGATGCGGAGAAACGTCATCTTCACTTAAAAAACATGTCGATAAATATGTTCTAAAAGTAAGAGACTATACCAATCCATCCGTGAATACAAAGTAATCACCAACTGATAGAGTTCATTTGAGTAAGTGGTTTTGAAACAATCAAACTCATATGCTATTTTAAATTTTAGTTGTTTTACATACGACCAAAAAAACTTAGTCATTTTTTTAATGATGAAACTGATGATTTACCTCAAGTGTAATTAAACAACTTTAAGAATTGCCATAAGAGTCATAATCATATTGATTTCAATAGTTCTTAACAGTGTTTTTTTGTCAAGATGAATATACTGATCTTATAGATTCATGATCTTCTTTTACCAATGTTCAACAACTTAAAAACAAATTTTAGAGCATGCCAAAAAAGCAACAATCAATCCATTTTTCTTTAGTTTTGTTTCATTAATTTGAAGTTTCTCCGAAAAAATTTTTCAACTTAGACATAGCTTCACTTTTAATGGTAGCTCAATTGTTCGTTATTTTCTATAATATATAAAATAATGTATCCCTCATTTACAGAAAAGCTTCTGATGTTATTTATGGATTGAAAAATGATATAGTAGATACAAAGAAAAACTATGCTAAGAATTAAACCTCCACTCGACTTACACATGTATTTTAGATATTTTTGACTAATATATGCGGTAATTTATAGTATATATTTGTTTTTAATATGCGAGAGTTGAGATACTTTCAACTAAAATTGATAAAACATGTGGAAGAAGATTTGGAGAAGAAAAAGAGTATTTCACAAAATCCGCAATTCATCTGATCTTAATGACAAATGAAGAAATATTTTATATACATGACTAATATGCTTTTTTTAATATAAATTGTTTAAAGATTGAATGATACATTTAAATTTAATTATTCTGATGACAAATGTCAACATACTATGATTTATTCTTTATTTTCTTCAAAAATTAGTTTTGACTTATATCATAATTAAAATACAAACATTGGTCGTATCGTCGTAGTTTGATGTGAAAATTTGGATCGTTTACTATAAACGAGTTCAGATTTGTCAAGTTTAATAGAAGACCAAACTTTTATCGCTCTGTGTTTTTTTTTTTGCCATAAGATGTGAAGTTTGGATGCACTTCTTTATGGTGACTTTGCATCCAAACTTCGATCGACATGTTATTTATTTTTTTTTTTTTTTATCAACACAAAATATAGTTGCTCTTCTTGAGATGTGAACTTGTAAGGGTAAAAAAAACGAACAAATATCTCATTAAGTGGTATCAGAGCTTAATCAAGATTCCATGTAAACACAAAATGGGACCTCTCCTTTTGAAATGGCTGCCATCGATAAGCCTACAAAGATCCAGTTGAACAGACGAACTTCAAAAGATGCATGTTGGCGTGAATGAGGAGTTCTTACACGCTGAAGCTTCTCTCAATGGCCTAATCGAGATGCTTAACCGTACATACCAATCACATGTAAAGTTCCATTCAAAGAACATCAAGCTGGAGTCTTCGCGGTTAAGAAGATCCAACCGCCTAGCTTAGTTAGGTCCGTTAACTATTTGTTTATTTAACGTCGAACGACCACCACATGCATTGTGCGAGCTACCATCTCGAAGACAAAGCAAACGAATGTGGTAGCAAGTTCTCAAGAAACGTACAGTAAAAAAGTGAATATTGTTACAACTATTTTTGTCACAATATATAAATATTTGGTCACAAATTTTTTATTGTGACAAAAATGATACGAATTTTAAAATATCACAATAAAATGGTCACAAATTCATTAAAGTCTCAAAAATGTCACAAAATTTTGTGACGATTGACATGGTAACAATTTGTCACTATTTGTGACGATATGAAAACAGTCACAGAAACGACACAATTCGTGACGAAAAATAATGTAACAAATATGCCACAAATATAGACAAAATAATCGTCACTTTTCTGTCATAAATTGTTACCACTTGATCCGACTTGTTACCGAAATAATGTCACGAGCGATCATAATTAGCGACTGAATTACAGTCACAAAAAGGTCACAATTTGATTTTATTTGTGACGTTTTCCTCCTACTAAATACGTAATAAATTGCTACGAAATTTGGAATATGAAAACCATAAAAATTTAGTCACAAGTTGTTACAAAATTGTTTACCTAATTGAAGGCACCACGTTTTTTATTTAAAAATGTTAATAATAAAATAAAACATTAAACTGAGATGACGCATATTGTGTATTGACAAATATTTTGCAGTTTACTTAAATTGAAAAATAAAAAGAAATCAAATTTCCAATTCAGGGAACTGTACAAACATTTTAACAATCATGGATAGCATAAGAATTTAACCTAAATAACAAATCATAATGACTCAATTTAATAAGTGGAATTTTTCCCCATTTTTGGGTTACACTTATCTAGCATAGCATCTTTAATTTAGAAATTGGATCATATGTTGAAAATGGAAATTTTGATATCGTATGTTACAAAAATGGTAACAATTATGCTACAATCTATAACCAAACGCAAAAATTACAAAAATAGTGACAAATTGTGACAGCCTGACAGGATAGTTACAAAACTTTTGTAACTAGACGTGACGTAAATTTAGTCACAAAAATCGTATAATTTAGTTACCATATTTGGTCGCAAATCCGTATTTATATTTGTGACTATATATTTTGTAACAAACTCGACATAATTAGTGACAAAAATTGGTTACTTTCAATTCAGTCACAATATTATAACGAAATTGTAACGTTTTTATGACGAAAAAAATGGTCACAAACGTGGGGAGAATACATTCATCACGTGGGATATCTTTGAAGAGTGACTATGGGCTCGATTTGGAACCACACTGACTATGAAGATTTGGACAAAGCTCTATCAAAAATTAGATAGACCTGAAAGTTTATTACAATGTGGAAGGAGCTTCTCTGATCTGAACTTTGAGGACAAGGTTCTCTCTTAGAGGGCTGTGTATATATTGATGGGGTCAAGAAAACCAAATTCAAATTAATTAATTAGACTTAGTCAATTCATTGGTTTTTTTTTCTTTTTTGCTTAATCCTCGTTGGCAATAATAGAAGTATTAACAAGTGTTCTTCGATCACATTTTCACTTACACTTTTGTAGGAATCCATGATTCCATTTCTTTAATTCCTTGATGTTAAATTCCTATTTAAGGACACCAAAACGAATGAACAAAGCAAAGATTAAATTTTCTACAAAACTACAAAACTTGTTCTTTTTAAGTTTAACTGAGACCGCATTAGGTTTCCATGCAACTGAAAACATACATTTACATAGATCAACCATGAAGCTTCTTGGACTCTGCTTAGTTCTTCTATTAGCGGTGGTGACTTGCAAAGCTGAAGAGATTACGTGCGAAGAGACCAAGCCATTCACATGTAACCAAACTGATCGTTTCAACAGAAAACATTTCGATGATGACTTCATCTTCGGTGTTGCATCCTCTGCGTACCAGGCATGTAACAAATCAATTATTGTCCCAAATATCTCGTATTAAAACATTAAGAAACACTAAAATCTAACGTTGCATGGTTGTTTTTTCTATTTTAGATCGAAGGTGCTAAAGGTCGTGGACTTAACGTTTGGGATGGCTTCACTCACCGATATCCAGTTTTTTCGTTTCCATGGTTGATATATACTTACATATATATAATATGAGAGAAGTGGTGATACGTTATAGCTCTTTATACATTCATAGTAATGTCTTTGTACGCTATCAGAGAAAGGAGGACCCGATCTAGGGAATGGAGACAACACTTGTGGATCATATGAGCACTGGCAGGTTAATTCCTCCATATACAAACTATTATACTCACTGTAATTTTATCAACTACGTATGTGTGGATTTACATGCGATTGTTTGTATAACTATAGAAAGATATAGACGTAATGACCGAACTCGGTGTTGACGGCTATAGATTCTCGCTTGCGTGGTCAAGAATCATTCCGAGTAAGTTCACATTGGTCCATGTATATATACTTGATTGTCCTAACTCCTAACAATAAATATATGATATATATGAGTAGGAGGAAAGGTGAAGAGGGGAATCAACGAAGCAGGGGTTAAGTACTATAACGAGCTCATAGATGGCCTCCTAGAGAAGAATATAACTCCTTTCGTTACCCTCTTCCATTGGGACCTTCCTCAAGTTCTACAAGATGAGTATGAAGGTTTTTTGCACCGCGATATCATGTATGTTATTGATGCCATACTGCTTCTTAAGAAACATGACAATATATATAAAGATATGATGTTGCATTAACGAAATATTAATGATTCTATAATATGTACAGAGATGATTTCAGAGATTACGCGGATCTATGTTTTGATAGATTTGGTGATAGGTTAAGAACTGGATCACGATCAAGCAGCTCTACACAGTGCCTACAAGAGGTTATGCAATGGGAACAGGTGCACCCGGTCGATGTTCTTATTGGCTTAATAAAGATCGTTACGCCGGAGATTCTGGAAGAGAACCTTATATCGTTGCCCATAACCAGCTTCTTGCTCATGCCGAAGTCGTCGATCTTTACCGGAAAAAATATAAGGTGAGCTCTCCATTTAAAAAATATGTACTCTTAACATATATATGATTCTAATTTTTCATAATTATATATATATGCAATGTATTCGTGACAACAGCCAAAACAAGGAGGACAGATTGGAGTTGTGATGATAACTAGATGGTTTATTCCATATGATAGCACTGAAGCCAACAAAAAGGCAACTGAGAGGAACAAAGAGTTCTTCTTGGGATGGTATATATGATCTATATATCCAAAAAAAAATAATAGATGTAGATACATAGAAACTTATTAAGGAATAATATGTTTAAAATATATATAGGTTTATGGAGCCGCTAACAAAAGGTAAATACCCTGATATCATGAGAAAACTTGTGGGTCGACGGCTTCTAAACTTCAGTGAAAGAGAAGCCAAACTTGTGAAGGGTTCATATGATTTTCTTGGTATCAACTATTACCAAACTCAGTACGTCTATGCCATTCCTGCAAATCCTCCGAATAGACTCACCGTCATGAATGACTCACTTTCAGCATACTCATGTAATACTGTATTTCTATAACCTTTCTTTATATCTATATCCTTTTATTTACAACCTTTCGTGACCATCCATTACTTCATCGTTGTCTTTACAGATGAAAATAAAGATGGTCCCATAGGTCCATGGGTATGCATGCATGATCCACCCTTATTGTCTCAATCATTGTTAAGCAAAACAACACATATATATATATATATATATATATATATATATATATATATATATACTTTGTGATTTATCTATGTTTGATGTTTCCCTTTCTTATATAGTTCAATGGAGATAGTTATTACCATCCAAGAGGAATGTAAACGTGTTGGAGCACTTCGAAACTAAGTACGGAAACCCTTTAGTCTATATCACCGAGAACGGTGAGTCACTCTATATACTGTTTCTCCTTCTATACAGTTTTAGTTTATGTCAAAATAGGTCCAAGAAAGTGACTAAATTGTGTAATTGTTCATGTTACCGCGGTCTAACTAGGATATAATAGCCCCGGTGGTAACACAACTGCCCATGAGGTTATAGCTGATTCCAACCGGACTGATTATATATGCAGTCATCTCTGTTTTCTCCGTAAGGCAATCAAGTGAGTGGATTCTACTCTTCTTCCTATCTTCTTATACTTAAATATAAATCCATGTGTGATCAACCGGTTTTTTTTTAAACATTGTTCTTGTTTTTAGGGAGTCTGGTTGCAACGTGAAAGGATACTTTGCTTGGTCTCTTGGAGATAATTATGAATTCGGCAAAGGCTTTACCGTGAGATACGGACTCAGTTACGTTGATTTCACTAATATCACTGCTGATAGAGTCCTCAAAACTTCTGGAAAATGGTACAAGCAGTTCTTAAACGGTACAACCAAGATCCCTGATGAGAACCAAAATTTCCTCCGCTCAAGGCTCTTCTTCGAGAACCGTGATCAAAAGAAAGTCGCAGATACATAAGACAAAAAACGAGTTTATGGTCATCAAGATCATTTTCATTTCTCCTCTTTCTACTTGCTCCATAGAAAGGAGCGTTGCCTTCATTCAAAGCATAATTCATCTAGTTACTGATTTGAGTTATATATTCGTGCTTATTGTTCGTTTGGACTTTTTGTAAAAGGCTTTGTTATGATATAAGAAAAGGGAGGAAATGTCATTTTAAGGCTTAGAGCACTGAATCTCGACACTTTTTCAATTTATGTTTTAACCATTCTGTTTTAGACTTTGTTGCGACATAACCATCTCCATTAAATTATTTTGGAGACTCCTACTCAGATTCAACCGATGTCTAAACATTCTTATGAATCCCTATGATCTTAGCCTTCATCTTGATTTTCCATTGTTCATAGCTTAGGGGATCCAACACCAATGACTTATGAACCACAAGGAGGTCAGTCATATCTACATGTTCTTCACACGATCTTTCCCTAAAATCGAATATCTTCTTGTGCTAGGTAAGGCTCCAATACCATTTGCAAGTGTAGAAGAACCACAAAATAACAGAATTTTAACAAGGTTAAGCAACATGCATACGTTCACAAATTTTATTTAAAAGACTTCTTCAAAGCAATTATATAAATACTCAATATCGGATTTGCACTTGAACATTCTTCAACCAAAAAAGTGTTGATTGTGAAATTAGGAAAAAAAAAAAAAAAAAAGCAAAAGAATGTTTGATGAGAATCAGACAGAGGGTGCTCTTTAAGTTAACCTTATAAAACACAAAAGTAAATGTTCAAAGAAAGAAACAATCTAAAACTCCAAAGTCAAAGGAACCAAAATCGAAACAATGTCTTTCCTTTGAATGATTCACCATCTTCTCTTCCCCAATTTTCATAAACCCAGAAAGAAAGCTTCTCACTTTCTTCATCCAACCATGAATTCCCCAAGACCCATCTCCGTCGTCTCCACCTTCGCTTCACCATCCTCTCCTTGTGACTCAACCAAGAAGCCTCTGAGTTTATGGCCTGGTATGTACCACTCACCGGTCACCACAGCTTTATGGGAAGCCAGATCCAAAATCTTTGAATCACTTCTTGATCCTCCTAAAGACGCTCCACCACAGAGTCAGCTTCTCACCAGAACACCTTCTCATAGCCGTACCACCATTTTCTACCCTTTCTCCTCTGATTTCATTCTCCGGGAACAATACAGAGATCCATGGAACGAGGTCCGTATCGGGATCTTGCTCGAAGATCTCGATGCTTTAGCTGGAACTATCTCCGTTAAGGTATCTTGATTTGCCCAATTGAGTCCTAAAGTTTGATACTTTCTTATGATTCTGTGATTTATTTTTACTCTGTTGTGTATTTGGTGTTATGTACCACAATTTGAATGTGTGTGTACATTGTGATTCAGCATTGTTCTGATGATGATAGTACAACGAGGCCACTCTTGCTTGTTACAGCTTCTGTTCATAAGATTGTATTGAAGAAGCCGATTTGTGTCGACATTGATCTCAAGATTGTTGCTTCTGTCATTTGGGTTGGTCGTTCTTCTATCGAGATTCAACTCGAAGTTATGCAATCCGAATTGAGTATGTGTATAACTTACAAGCATGTATCCTGAAACTATAAAACAGTTGCTTATGTTTTGTTGTTGTTGTTGTTTTCAGAAGATGTCAAGGCTTCTTCGGATTCGGTTGCTTTAACTGCTAATTTCATTTTTGTGGCGCGTGACTCTAAGACTGGTAAAGCTGCTCCTATTAACCGGCTTTCTCCTGAAACCGAGGTCGAAAAGCTTTTATTTGAGGAAGCTGAAGCTAGGAATAACTTGAGGAAGAAGAAGAGAGGAGGTGACAGAAGGGAATTTGATCACGGAGAGTGTAAGAAGCTCAAGGCTTGGTTGGCTGAAGGAAGGATCTTCTCTGATATGCCAGCTCTTGCTGACAGAAACAGCATTCTTCTTAAAGATACCCGTCTTGAGAATTCGCTGATATGCCAACCGCAGCAGAGGAACATCCATGGGAGGATCTTTGGAGGATTTTTGATGCATAGAGCATTTGAGTTGGCCTTCTCCACAGCTTATACGTTTGCGGGTCTAGTGCCTTACTTCTTAGAAGTTGATCACGTCGATTTCCTAAGACCGGTCTGTATCCAAATCACTGCTTACTATCCTCTTCTTGTTTATGTCCGTCTTCTGTATATAACTAATGCTGAATGGACTTGCATGACAGGTGGATGTTGGTGATTTCTTACGTTTCAAATCATGTGTTCTTTACACTCAACTGGATAAACTAGATTGTCCGCTCATCAATATCGAAGTTGTTGCCCATGTTACAAGCCCAGAGATTCGTTCCAGTGAGGTAAAATCCTAAACTTGATGATGGATCTCTTTTCTTTTTTTTTTCTT